CACAAGGCCGGACGATCATTTACAAGATTTCTAGTTTCAGTTGAATATCTGCACGAAAATTGAAAATCGCTTTAAATTCGGCTCAAAATATATTATTCCCTCTTATGATCGTCATCCCAAAGAATTCCCTTCTGAACCGTTAATGTATATTTATAAGATGGTTTCTATGGCGAATGACAGGTCTACCTCTCATGGGATCGATATTTCGTGAGAAGATAAATGTTATAAGCTCATTGATATTCCAATCGCGACTATCTGGTGCCGGATGACAGCCTTCTATCTGATTTTTACATTCACAGTACGTATCTATTGTTGTTGAGAAGCTCGAAATCGTTATTTCCTGTAAATAGCTGTACAGTATGAAAACACTGTGGCCAGGATAAATCTGTCCATTATTACCATATATTACTTATTATTAAATGGTAAATTTTAATAACTGACATAATTTACTGAAAGATTTTCAGAATACATGTTTTTATAAAAACATCGACACGTGTTTTGTTACACAGGTTTCCTTCAAGCAAGAGTGTATCAACCTGAAGGACCGGATATAAATAATACGTAATTTAATGATTTGTGTAAAAAATAAGTGAACAAAATTAATTTTACACAACAATTCATTCTAGGTAATATTGTTTCCTGCTAACAACAGATTGAGCAAAGGCGAATTATTCTAATCAATTTCAAATTGGAAAGAAAAAATAAATGAAATTAATTCATTTGAACAATTCCTTCTCTTTATTCTGTTGTTACCAGAATACATGTCTTTCAAAGAACGTACCAACATGTCCCTGACCCCTCCTGTATGTGGAGCAAATGGAGTATTGTAGAACCAGTTCATGTTTTGCTAATGTTAATGTTATTATTATGTCGTGCTGCTCAAGGTGCTGCTCAAGGTAGTTCGATTTCAATTCATATCTATCTACATTCAGTTTTACGGATAGTGTTTTTACAAATATCTTTACTAGAAATTTCATGTGTGATAACAATTTTCAAGCATGAAATTACCCTCAATTTTTTTTGAATGATTATCGTCGTGATTGCCCAAATTGAGTTACTTTTTTTTTGAGGTGTAGATCGCAAACATCAATTCTAGAGTTGCTTTACTCAGAACTGGTTGGTCGTGATTAGGTTGAATCACTTCTCTGGAAATCAGCGAAGATACATTGCCCCACCATCAGCAATTTTGGTTTACCACCTTCAACAGTTTCGATAATGAATCTATCTGAATAAGTATGTCTATTACATACTCGCATTTACCTCGTATTCAACATCCAAATGTTGCTCTGACAAATCCAATCTATTGATGATTCTAGCATTTCTGATTCTATATATTTGATTTTCGGAGAAGTGCATATGACATGCTCAAGATAAGATCAAAACACCGACCCCTGTCTCTCATGCAAACCAACGACTTTGTCGGTACGTGTGGCAGATACACGACGGAAAAACAACAACTAACCCAGCTAATGCCGCGCATGAAGGAAAAGCATAAGGTACCTGTACAACGTCTTCCATTTGAAAGATTCGTCACAAGTAACTTCTTATATACGAAAAGCAGAAATTAATTCAATTTGGTCGGGACAACCACCGATAGACCGGTTTCAAAGTATTAGGTCCTCGTCAGTACCGGAAGGGTCATATCAGACGAAGTGAACCGTATGAGTATCCCGAACGAACAAAATAATTTTCAACTAGTCACAAGCTCTATCTGCAGTTGACTGAGTAGGATGTATCACTGCGCCACATACATACAAAGTTCGGAAACAACTCCACATACTCCGGAGGGGCGGAGAGTCAGAAAAATAAATGAATATATTCCAGAGGTGCATATGACAAGCTCAAGATTAGGTGAAAACACCTTATCCTAGCCCCTATGACTTTGCAGGTTCACATGGTCATTTCAGACGGTCTTCCATCTGATATGATCCTCTCGGTACTGACGAGGAGCTAGTACTCCGAAACCGGTCTATCGGTGGACGTCCCGACCAAATGAAATAAATTTTTGATTTTCATATATATGAAGTTACAAGGTCGCGAAGCTGAGGCTTTTGCAATAAGCAGCGGACTTACTCAGATTATAAATGAGCCAACCAGGATTCCTGACCTTGATGGAGAATATACAAGTCTTCTGGATCTATAGCTAACAACCATTCCAGAAATTGTAAGGTCTCTATTGGAATCTTCTTATCGCAATCTCTTTTCAGTGTTGACTGAATTACCGATAAATGTTGGGGAGCAATCTAAGCCGCGCAAATTTTGGCATTACAGATTTTCTGAGTGGGAGGATCCTCAAGACCATTTCCGAGATTTTGTCTGGATAAATGTTTGTTTCAGCTGTAATGATCCATCAACTTGTGCTCTTGATATCACGGAAGCTATTCTACCATTCATGGATGCATGTATTCCTTTTTCAATGGAATGAACCTCTAACGGAAAACTTTGGTTCTATAAAAATTGCGAGCAAGCTGTCGCCTCCAAAAATATCGCCTATCGGCAGTGGCGCAAAAATCCCAGTGCCGAAATCCGAACTAGGTTTGTTGATGTTAGCAACAGCTGCAAACTAAGAAAAAATGAAAGCAAAGAACTGCACGATCAGAAAATTAGGGATAAACTGTTTGCCAATCCCAACGGGTCTAGATCCTTCTGGTCGGTAGCTAAAGCTATCAATCAGAACTATAAAACATCCACAATTCCACCATTAACACAAGCGGATGGTTCAATCGCAACAACAGTCATAGAAAAAAGCAAATCTACTAGCTGAACAATTTGCGTTCCATTCCACAGTCGATTTTTTGGGAAAGGCACCTCAAACTATTCCCACGCTAGAATCCACAATGCCGGAAACTACTTTTCGACAACGTCTAGTCAGGCGAATTTTGTAACAGCTCAATATCGACAAGGCGTCTGGTCCTGATGAAGTGCCCGTCATCGTACTTAAATAGTGCACAAATGAACTCGCACCAGTATTTTTCAGATTTTTCAACCTGTTCAGCAAAGAAGGGCTTTTTCCGTCTTGTTGAAAGATTGCTCGCGTTTAGCCTATTCCAAAAAAGGACACGAAAAATCTTCCAAATAACTATCAGTGATATAAAAAATCTTAGAAAAAGCCGTAAAAAACCATAGCCTTGAATATTTGGATGGCTTCAACATCTTGAACGATCATCAATATGATTTTCGGAAACGAAGATCAACAGGCGGCCTTCTATCGTATGTTGCTCATATTGAGAATAACGCAATCGAGAAACATGGACAATGAAGAGCTGGTGCGCTTGGTATTCCTAAGGCCTTTGACCGTGTGTGGCTTGAGGGTTTGCTGGCCAAACTTCAATGCTATGGCTTGTTGGATCATTTTCGTATATGGCTCTCCAGCTTCCTGAAAGAACGTTCCCTTACTGATATGTCTTGGCACAAACATGCCACTGAAGTTGCAAAGGCTGCTTCTCAAAAGCTTGGAACACCGTTCCGAACCAGAAAACTGTACACACCCCAACAAAGTTTGATGCTTTATAAAGCTCTTATCAGACCATCTTTGGAGTATTGTTCTCATGTATGGAGTTTCGCCCCTAAGCATACCCTGAAGCTGCTGGATTCCATTCAGAAAAGAGCCATCCGCCTGATTGGAGACGCGAACATCACTTGCAACCTTGATAGTCCCCAAAAGATTGGGGATTTGTCTCTCTTCTATATAAACTTTCACGGGAAGTGTTCAAGTGACTTGGCACATTTGAATCCATCAGAAATACGCGACGGACTGTGGCAGCTCATCGTTTTGAGGTTCAACTTAGCGCACCTCGAACTTCACTCTTTCATCTGGAGAACTGCGTTTATGCGGAATAAAATTCTTGAGAACGTTTTTCCAAATGAATTTATTCTACAGCGATTCAAATCCAATGTAAACCGCTACTTTCGCACAAGCACCGGTCGTAGAGCGCCTTAGGGATTTTCCTGTGGTGTTTTGTGTTTTGTCTTGAAAAAACTTACATCGAATCTACCAAATGGAATACGTTGCATAGGTGCCTGATGAGATGGTTTAACTTCAGCTTTCTGCATTTACTTTATAAGAGCTGCAGAAGGAATCTTTCTCCACCTGATAACTCCACCTTCCAAATTTTTTCGCAAAAGAACACGACTAATAGAATTGGATATACAAGTATGTGCCAGGTGCTTCGATTGTTGTTTTTTGTTGAATTTTGTTAACCAAAAATTAAACTTGTTAATCAAGTTGTTTTTAATATACTTTACTTAAGGTGCAGAAAATGTATCGTTAGGACAACTTTCTTCATTGTTATCTTGCTGAAGGTTTTTCCTCAAACTTATGCGTTGGTGGTTGTCAAAGTCTTCATAAGGATTGATTCATAGCGATATCACGAAAAACTACCTGAAAAGCTTTGGAAATCGCAGTATCAGCTGAGTTGCTGAAAATCTCTTCATTTTCAACAAACTGAATCAGACTAAGTTTTAGTCACGAATATTTTTATATTCTTGGACCACACGGAAGTTCAGTTTTTTTTTCCTTTGTTCTCATCGTGTTCACTTCGAGTTTCATTTCCTCCTAAATTTCGAACGTCATCCTCTTCAACATGCCTCCCCTGATAATTATTAGGATAGTCACAGAAATTCCGATTTCTATTCATTAAGTGAACATCTGATGGAGAAATTCGAAAATTTAAATATATATTTTTCGAATAGGTACTTTCTTTTACTTCTACCAGCCATTACGTATATTCTGAAGTTTTACGTGATGGACCAGTTTGTAAATTCAATAATTTGATATTGATGAAAATACAAATAAATTTATTGTTTTGCCTTTTCACTTGTTCCAACCATGTGATACAAAGTGATTGAATCTTAAAAAAAGCATACATTGATTTAAGTCAGTACCTGTCGACAGGGTAGAAAGATATATAGATTAATAAAAATTGTCATATCTTACTTTTTGTATTTATTGTCGTAGGAAATGTTTTTCGTAATTATTGAATGCGTTTTTCTCGAAGGGCATGGATTTGGAAATGCAACTCCGAGCGGCAGAAGCTAGACGAGGTGAGCTGGAACGTCAACATGCAGAAGCTTTGCAGTCTCTCAGAGGATGTGGTCCAGAGACGCTTGAAGTGAGACAATCGAGAGTTAGAGAGTTAGAGAAAAAAGTAGCCCTGGAAACAGTAAGGTAAGTGGATGACAGTCATGGTATACATACCTTTATTTTCCTCTTTACCGTTTCATTTTTCGAAAGTTTGATCACCTAGGAAGCTACATTTTTGTGGTGTTGAAATTTCATCTAAACTTGATTGCTAGTGACATTTCATTTTCCTAATCAGCGTGTCATGAAACCTCCAAGAATATTCAAAATGTCCCTCTATGAAAATTTAAGCTACTTGAAGAATATCTTCAACAGTTATCATCGAAAACTTAATTTTTTCAAATGATATTTTAATGAATCCGAGACACCAGTCCAAAATACCTTCAATAAGGAATCCACTTACCTATATGGAACTATGGTTTGTGTAACTAGTACACTCATAGGAAGTTTTATTAGAATTCAGTAATAATTGGTAATTGAAGAATATGTGTGTGATATAACTGAAAGCTTTAAACAGTGTATGGACCAATGCAACAGAAAGCCAAGCATTCCGCTAAAAGCGAACGACATCCAAACGACCGAAACATTTTCTATCAGAGTTTGTTCATTTTCTTACCGGCCATGACTCATAGAGGCGCAGATGACCAAGAATTTACACTTCAACACTCCTCTATTAGGCTAATTGCACACACACCGATTGTGGACGGCCGATTTTATATCGGTCGTCCAAATTCCAATAGTGAGCCACATGTGGTAACGGGACCTTGTAGGTACACATACTTACCGGTGATCGACGCCGATCACATTGAGTCTGAATTAATGAAACTTTTTAGCTTTATTACGGTAATTTAAAATATGCTTGATGGGGACGTATAGTCGAAGTAAACGATATTGTGCACTTTTAAAGTTGCGGGCACTCTGAAAGGTTAAAAAAACCAATACATAGAAATGAACCGGCAGCGAACTAGTCCACGTGGACTATAGACATGGCGGTTCGTATTGGATGATTTTTACTAGCCGAGTTTTATGATTGAAGTCATGTTACGGTGACGAATAGAAATCGGGAATGCGAGGATGGTTATCGCCGTTGTGTTCAGTTCAGGATCTAATCGCGATTTGAGTGATGAAATTCGATATTGGTGCAGTTATAATTACTTAAAATGTTTGTTATCTGTTTAAAATGTGGCGTCTTTCGACAAGTACTAATAGTAATAACGAATGTGATAACAACGCACTTTTTACAATGTAGTGATTCCACTAGCGATGGTGAACAATGCGAAAAAGAGATACTAGTGAATAAGATTCGGATGCATTTGAATATTGAAACACAGAGAGTATGTTTATAGTCAAAAACAAACCTGATGAAGACAATACGCGATGTGATACAGGTTTACCAAAACCTTCAGATGTTCATCTAATAAAGTCATTTAAAAAACAATATACTGTTACGAAAGCAATGAGATTCCTACAACTGAAATCATAAGGAAGAAATCGAATACATACTTTTTTTTTGTGGCCGTTGGACGCATAGTCCATAATAGCCAGCAACTAAACGTTAGTTTTTCTCTCAATTTTTCGAAAGCAAGGGAACGGGTTTTAGGATATTACTTTTCACACCCAGGGGTCGATCAGGGTGACTTTGCACAGAAAAGGTAGACCACGGAAAGAAAGGATTTGGGGGATGGGAACATGAACACATAGAATTCACATCAAGTATCCTCTACAACTTCAGGTTACAATCATTCACAAATTTCATCATGAATACATACTTATAAACTAGGATTTAGATTTAAAATAATAAACAAACGTCAAGCAGTTATGGTAAGCAGAAGAATAGTGGAATTACGTAACAAATACTTAGAACAAATAACTAAATATAAACAAGAACAACGGCAAATTTCCTATTTGGACTGAACTTGGTATGACACTCACCACACAGTTTCGAAAAGGTGGACTGATAGTTCGAAGAAGTGTTTGCCTAACATGCCTGCAAACAAAGGATCGCGACTAATCATTGTATATTGCCGAGAAAGTAAAGGATGGGTTCCGCATTATTTGAAATTATGTGAAAAAAACTTGAGGACTGCAATGTTGACCATCATAACATGGAAGCTAATATTTTCGAGGAATGGTTTGAAAACACATTGATCCCAAATTTGAATGCGATTGGTGTAATGTTCCTTGACAACGCTTCCTATCATTCGCGACAGCTCATCAAAGTACCGAATGAAAAGCCGAGGAAAGATGAAATACAAAGATTTTTCAAGGATAACAATTTGTATTTTGAAGATAACTATATCAAAAACCAACTACTTGAAGTTTAACAGACAAAAACATTTGGAAAAGTGTATGTCCTTGAGAATAATGCTGAAAAGTATGGTCACACCGTACTGAGACTTTCCCCCTATTTTTGTGTTTTCAATCCCATTGAGTTAATTTGGGGAAAATTGAAACAGAGCATTAGGCGTAAAAATAATTTTCCAAAATTTGATAAGAAGGTGATATATCTAGTTAAAGAAGAAGTATCTAATATTACCGAAGAAGACTGGCAGAAAATTGGTGATAAACAGTTTAAAACTTTTTTAAATATATGTCGCATTATAGAAGGATACTATGTGTAAATCCTATAATTCATAAAATGTATTGCCATTGTAACCTAATTTTAATCATAAATAGACTCCATCAACAATATTATCATTATCATTAGATTGTTTCTAGTCAGCATTTGAACGTTTAATGAAAGCTACTAGTCCTACCAGCTCTTTATCTCTTTCATGTCTTCAAATATGTCATGTCTCTTTCAAATATTTTCAACTTACATCTGTTGCGGCAGAATTTCGGAAAGAAACGGAAGAGTAGGAATGAACTATTTGGACCTCATGGCGATGTTAGACTTGAAGTAGTTTTGGCGAGCGTAAACGGGGTAATGGCTCACCTCGCTCTGCTTCAAAAGGAATCCTGAAATGGCAGAAATCGCCAACCCAGAGGATTGTTCTTTTTGCTACAGACATCCTGGTAATATATCTATTATGAAACGCTTTTGTCTAGTTTACTCGGTTATAGGTGACGGTTGGCCCACCTATACTCTGTCCATCTAAGCAATGGAGTGCTCCAAAACACTTTTTTTAATATGCGGTTGGGTATAGGAAATTTTTTCAAGTAGGAACACAAATTAGCAGTTTTCTCAGACGTATCATTACCTGACAACACAGACATTAAAACGTATCTGAATTCCAATGAATTCCGCCAGCTGACTGTCTGATTGTCCAGCGTGAGGATGTCTATTTTACCAAATAGAAGCAAATGTGTGTGGTGATTATGCTTTGATCACGTATCTATTTTTGTTTGGGTTACTTTGTTGGAATGATATAGTGAAGCATCAAGCTCAACACGCCTAAGATAAAAAATCGGTTGGTCATTGCCGAGTGATATCGTGTCTCTGCTTTTTCTGGAATGTCTATTAGGGCCGCGTAGCATGCCCCATCGGTGGCTAATATCTGAATTACTCGTTTGATACGTCTACCATCCGGGGACGGATATGATGTTCCATTGCAAATGGTACAAAAATAATAATAGCGACGAAACAAGTTGAAATAAAAAAAAAGAGATTTCACTGACACCCCTGTTACCTATCAAATTGTCCTACAAAAAGTGCATTTGCTTATTCAAACTCCACTAAATATATCTTGCTTCTCAAGGAAACCGATTACTTAATGTGGTAAGTTATCATTCAGGTCAGCTAGCAAGAGGGAACTCTGTCAATCACTGAAGTCCTGATCCAATTCGCGATGGGCAAGCATAGAATATGTTTTCTACTACCAGAGTCTGCATTTTCTCTATAGAATAATCTACAGCAAAGTTGACAGACCATGGTATCATTTTCTCAATCTAGTGAGAATTTTATCGGTGGACAGTTTGTGAATATCTTCGTCAGGTAGATAAGCGACACCGAATGTGTGTCTTTGAAAGAGCTTCTTTAACGCATTTTAGGAAAGTGTCCTCCATGATGTACTAACTGCACCAGCCCCCTCAGGCCACCAGCTCTCTCAGGTTACCTGTAACTATCCAGGCCAAAATGTACATCTCTGGAATTGTACCTGTGGATTATCTCCAGAAATATGCTCTATGGCAGTCATAATGGTATACTGAAGAGATCGATTGATAGATATTAGGTTGTCGAGGGTTCAACGTGCAGAATTTCCAACTCAATGCACCCTTCACATTTGAGGGCATTTGTAAGTCAAACCAACATTCTTGGAATTATGTTATCATGAAACACTGAAACACTTTGTCTGTCATTTACTTTTTAATATATTTCCAGGTGTGAAGAACTCCAACTTGAACTTGCATCATCGCAGAGGTCTCGAATGGGCACGAATATGCAGTGTATTCCGATGTCAGGCAACATCGGAGGACAGTCTTGGGGCAATAAAGGTACAGAAATAGAACGAATTATGGCTAAAATAGAACAAGATAACAGAATATTAGCTGAGTTAGACCATAGTCGTTCTACCACTTTGGGTAAGTTAGAGTAGTGAATGAGTATGTCTAATTTGAGTAGCGTTGGTGTTTACAAATGACGGATAATTATTTCATCAAAGTACTATTGAATAACTGGGAGACTATTAAATTAATGAAGAGAAACGCAGAATTTGTTGAAGATCAAAGACAGGAAGAATATATAAAGAAGTAAAATGTCTACTGTAAGTTGAGAATTTACGGATGGTAGACTCGCTTTTTTGTTTCTTAATTTCGAATTTACTGCACCTATTTTCGTAAGCTATAAGGTTAAAACTATCAGGTTGAATACAAGTCTTTTTATTGTCTATATTTAGGACCACTTGAAAGCGATAGAATTCAATGGTTTGTAATGAAACATGTTCACAAACGGGCACATTATCGTTTAACAACAAGCTTTTCAACACGTTATTCAGGAAGCAATAGGTTTTATCCGAACTAAACTAAATATTTTTCGAATTGAACTAGCACTGAATTATATGTGAGTCAGTAAGGATTGTGAGAATAAGCCATCCAGGCTAAACTATATTTTCCATCTATACGAACTTCCGAATACGTTTCCTGAATATGATTCTGAAAATTTTTACATTCAGTAGTTTGATTGACAGGATAAGTTCATTTTTGACCAAGTTGACAAGGAAAAAGATGAATTCCTGCCTTTTTGTCGTTCAGCGGACAATTATTTGTCGAAAGATTCAGATAGGCACTTCATTATGATGGAATTAGTCGATACTTGCTGGAAATCCATAATGTATTCAAGTAACACATTTTTCTAAGATTTTCTTTGAACAGTTAACGAAACCTCAACCCGTTCGTGAGCATGAAGAAACTAGCGTAGTGAGACACGTGTTGCGGTTTTGTGAACTTTTTAGAGAAAATCTCACCATAAAGAGAATTGGTGACATAATTTCGGGAAGTTGGATCGGTTCAAAATAAAAATCATAAACTTTATAAAGCTATAGAGTTTGCAATATTGGAACAAATAGTACGCTTGGACGTTTAGTCCAAGAAAATTGTTCACTGAGACGGGTTTGGGTTGTCCAAGTGCCTTGTAAATATTAAAAAGTATAACTTACATTCGTATAAGATTCGGTTAGTGCAAGAACAAAATGAGAACGACTTTTATTATATCATCTATTTTGAGAAATTACAAGTGAACAAGCGGTGAGAAATGGTGATTACCTATTTAATGTTCGTTTTTAGAAGAGTACCTATACTTCATTTTGATCGGTGTTGTTGATCTACACAATAGTCCTTATTTAGGCGATAGCAATAAAAATGTTTCACAAACTACACCGGAAACGATTCGACCGTCACAAACTTCATTTTTGAAATTTCACATGTACATCCTCAGGTTCATCTTCCATTATGATTACTTAGAGCATATTATATCAATTCTACATTAATAATAATATGTCTATGAAGACTAGGTTAACATTGGTTTTCAAGAAAACAAGTTCAGTAATGATTTCAGTTATCCATTTTTCATTTAATGATTGAGAAGTAGAAAGCCGATAAGTTTTTTCTCCTCTTCTAAAAATTTTCCTTTGCAATTTGAATAGAATTAGAATAATACTTTTCACTACCACTCAATGACTGATAATTTCACTCATTCTAGAAATATAATCTTCAGAATGAATATGTAATAAAAACTACAAAGGGTCTCGTACCAACCTTATTCAAGTAAGAGCATAAGTCCAGTTGAATTTTTAGGAAGTCATTTGATACCTGCTAAAAATGCATTATGCATTCAGTCTTGGAGAAGAAAATGAATTTCAGCCTTATAAAGTCAGTTGTAGCTGGTGTAAGTATAAATCTTGGAAAAGTAAAAACAACATTCCAAGTATGAGATAATTTTCCAAAAGTTCTTGTACGTCTTCCATAAATTTAGATACCAATTAAAATACACACATCGGAAAAGTCTAGGGATATTTTTATAACATACTAAATATCATAAAAATAAATGCATGAGGTAAAAACGTTCTCAGGAAGTTTATTCCACATAAACGCCGTTTTCGAGAAGAATGTTCGAGGTCAACTGAGTTGAACCTCAAAACGATGAGCAGCCACAGTCCGTCGCGTATTTCTGATATATACCACTCTTGGTGGAATCAAATGTGCCAAGTTACTTCAACACTTCCCGTCAAATTATCTATAGAAGAGAGACAAATCTCCAACCTTTCTTCAGACTGTCAAGGTTGCAAGTGATGTTCACGTCCTCCAATAGTTTCCAATCAAACACCGTACAAAAAAATGTAACAGAAGATTAGGATAAACTTCCATTTTCATAAAAGTGGCATCGTTCTGCAAAGGTGATACATTTCTGTACGGTTTTGGTAAAATTGGTTTTTGTAAAAAAAAAAAGTTCATTTAATTGATTATGCCGTACAAATTAGATGGTTCATGAGGAGGTGAAAATAAGGTGAAACACACAATAATGAATGATCTTGAAATAAAATTTCATGATATGTTCACTACTCCATGAACCCATGAATTTATACGGCACGACTGAGTTAATTAGTCCGGTCAATTTAGACCTGAAAACAGTAATGAAATAACGAAAATTAGGACAGAGCAAAATTTTGGTGAAGACCTTTATTTTACCATGAAAAATAAAAATTTGAAACTCCCAATCTGTCGCATGAGTGCTTGAAAAATTATTCGGGGTCAAAGGTCAAAATTTCAGTTTTTTTGAGTCTTTCTCGAAAACCTTAAGTTTTATCAAAAAAATACCTCAAACCAAAGTTGTAGATCTCAAAATTTTCTTCAAAAATGGAAATTTGAAAGTCCCAATCTGTCCCATGAGCGCTTCAAAAGTTATTCGGGGTCAAAGGTCAAAATTTCAGTTTTTTTGAGTTTTTCTCGAAAACCGTAAGTTTTATCAAAAAAATACCTCAAACCAAAGTTGTAGATCTCAAAATTTTCTTCAAAAATGGTCCTTATGCTTTTTTTTGTAAGTATCACCTGAGATCTCGCAATTGTAAAAGTCACGTTCTATGTAATACGCACACATTACCCACGTATAAACACATACAGGTACTTAAGCAAGTAAAAATGCCTGTTTGTGTCTTTTTTATGTATATACTATAAATTATATTCAGAAAATATACATTTAAAGGACCGTCAGTCCCGTCGAAAATCCCCTCTACGAAAACCTTAAGTTTTATCAAAAAAATACTTCAGACCAAAGTTGTAAGTATCACCGTTCCTGAGATATCGCAATTGTAAAAGTCGCGTTCTATGTAATATTCACACGTTTCCACACAACCTGTGAGGTAGTGTACTCGGCGCGTTTTTTCAACGTGGTTTCCCTAGTAGACCTATTCCACGAATCGTTAATAAGTAATTTTTAGTCACAATACTTATTTAACTGCATGAGGATTATTCGGGTTGATAATGTTTATGGAGTGTAATTGTCAGTTTGATTTATTTTGATACTTTAATCTGATTTATACTCGTCATAGTTAACTTCAACAATCATGTGCAATTTTTTCTTCGTCTTCTTCCTCTTCCTCTCCTTGCCAGATGTTCATAAATTGTTCAAATAATGATGTATCAGTTGTCTCTTCATCAGCATCGCATGAATCATCCTCTGTTGTACTCAACTCAACATTTGAACAAGAGTGACCTTGGAAATTGGTACACGTAGGTGTACCAGCCTGTTCATCTACTTCATCGCCACAAAATAAGTAGTTTTCTTCAAAACTAAAGCTGGATTCACTTACTCGTGCTCTAGTACGAGGTGGACTTACTTTTGAAGTACTGGCCTTTTGAAGTACGTTGTCTTTTTGCTGCGCCAATGGTAGTTTTCGGGGTGTATGATTTTCGGCAATCCACGTGGATTGTAATGGACTTTAGACCTCTCAAATATTCAGTAAACTCATCACTTCTCGCATCACTTACATCGATTAAAGTTTGCATTACACGATTAACCACAACAGTTTCACCTTCAGTCAAAAGCTTACAGCAAATAAAGCAAAAATAGCGACATTTTTTTTCGAATAATAATCACTGAAAACTCTTTTAGTAGACGCTTGGAATAAATACGTATATTCAATCGTTTAACACTAAAAGAAGTAGGCAAATGAACAACGCCACATGGACAATATAATAGGTAGCCAGATGTTATATTTAAGGCCATACGGGTAGATGGAATTTTCGAAGGGACTGACGGTCCTTTAAATGTATATAATATATAGTATATACATAAGTACCTTAAGTACCTGAATGTGTATATACGTTGCTAATGTGTGCATATTTTTAGGTGGTATCAAATAGCTCTCAAAAAATTCATCATGAGCTTGGAGTCAATAAGTAACATTGGTACAGTGTAGTGTTTATACTGAGAAAATGAATGTTTTGAATGAAAATTAAATGTTTGGTAGTTCAAAAAATAGCTTAGCCAAAAAATTATATTAGACTTTCTACTTTTTGTGTACAAACAACTGATCTCGTATCATTCCAAAAAAGTATGACGTAGAGTACTCATGAGAATAGTATTAAAAAAAAATTACTGACGTTATGGCTCAAGGAAATATCCTGGATATCATCTGCAACAAATTTAATCACCCACCATTTTATACATTGTCATTTGAAATAGGAAATAGTTTCATGAATATGCATGGAAAATATGTTAATTGAATTAACGTTGTTTTTGCATGTAAATATTGGATGCAAATACTGATTACCCGAATGTTCAGTGCATATCGCAAAAATATTTTAACTGTTAATTCTTTTTTAAAAATGAACTTTGATAACTGATATTCATTTATATGATTTCAATTAATTTCAAATGTGTTTCTTGATACAAAAATCTAGAGTAAATCATCACATTTCATAGGTTCGGAATTTGACTAATTTCTGAGTGCATATCGCAATTATTCAGATCAGACAAAACATTGGTCTAACTTTTCAATCTCTAAGAGACTCTAAAACTATTACTATGGTTCATTTCGCAAAAATTGTTCTTATCAGAAAATCATGACCAAGGTGTCATTTGATTCGTAATTTCACCCATAACGATTTATGATGAAAGTGGTTGACATGGTCAATTTTAATTAGTTCGAACTTCCATTGTCTAATATAAAATGAAATCCCTGGGAGAACAAATATTTTTGAAATTTATTTTTATTCCAGTTTAATTGTTCAATTTTTTATTTATCGCCCAATTTTTATTTATTTGTGATTTTATTTCAGGTTTTTTGCCTAATATAATTGTTATTTTCAGCTATTCATTTTAATTTTCGAGTTTATTTGTTCTTTCAGTGTTTCCAAACCATATTATATCATATTAAACGAAAGCCATTTTTTGTGAAGTAAATCAGTTTTTATCGACCTTATTGGTAATTTTTACCTTCCACAATCTGGAAAATATATTTGCCCTTTGACATCTGTCGAAGAAGTTGAGAAATGAATAATCAGCAAAGGAATAACTGCAAATATCTTTGAATTTTTTGTCCATTTCTGAAGACGGAGGCAGATTTTGGCCTCCGAAACGTTAAGATAAGTATTGTATTATTTCTCAACAATTTTTTCGATAAAAAAAATTGTTCAATACGATAAGTAACTGATGAATAAAACATTTTCTTTGTGAAAAATACTTTGATTTTACGCAGTAACTTATCGGGGTAAACTAAAAAGTTTGCCCTTTCTACACTTGTATAAAGTTCTCCATTATAATTTTTATAATTTTCAGATTGTGGAAGGTAAAAATACCCAAAAAAAGGTCGATAAAAAGTATTATATCATATTAGACAATTTAAGTCCGAAATAATCAAACTTATGATTTATGATCTTAACCCAGTTGGGCAAACAAATAGTCTAAAAGTCATAAACAAATTACGTGAACAAAAAGAAAAGAGAAGTTCGTTTTTACGAATATCTCAAAAACTGTTGCAAAAAATCGGGATTAAAAAAAGTACTAGAAAAAATCATTATTTATAGTAACGTCCGATTCGGGCGCTATAACAAATAATATTATTTCAACCCATTGAATATAATTAATAAAAAATACTTGTATATGGTAGAATGAACAATAATTCGCCAGTAAAAAATATTGATAACAATAATTTCGTTTCTTATTATGCATTTATTAACAATTTTTTCAAGTATAAATTTTTTTCCTTCTCGAAGCTATTCTATGAAGGCTTCAAGCAAAGGAAGAAAAATTGTAATTTGCCATTTTTTAACGAATAATCGAAGATAATGAAAACTTAAAAACATATATGAAGGATTGGAAATTTGTTAATTCTATCATTAATAATGTAGCTCATACTCTTCATCTACAAGATTTTGCTTTAGTGTATAGTAGCATGATTTAGTCTTAGTTTGAGATGTTTCCTAAGCCATTTTTGGCAACAATGTAATGGACAGATACATATACTTTGACTCAGTGAGAGTCTTTATTGAAATTGAAAAATTGAAATGTATTCTTTATGCAGTCATTGTTCACTGTGGTTCTGGCGTTGAATTTGGTCATTATCACGCATTGGTCAAAACGAAACGGAGTGGTTTAAGTTTGACGATAGTCGTGTCACTAAATATTCTGGCAATATCTTGAATTCATTGGAGCCTCTGGAGACACCCTATATTATATTTTATGGAATAGAGGACATTGGCAGATCAAGATCTTCAGATAATGTGGTGCTGCAGGTTTTCCGGGTTTTCCTGCAGCTGAAAAAGTAAATACGCCACTGGAATTAATCAAGTCGCCATGGAGCACCAATAATTTTTGTTGTTGTTGTTTTGTTCATAATTTGTATTACTTTTTTATATGTTTCTATAATTGAAAGTTTTATTTGTAAAAAAAAAATCAAAAATATAAAGTGCGACGTTCTTGGATTTGCTATTGTAACTCATTACATTTTGTTTGGTTGAACCTAAATTCGAGTATATCAATGGATACTTTTTTCTCTACAAAATTAGGTTGTTCTCCATCAGGAGAATAATTTATCAACATTAAAAAAAAATTGTCATAGCAGAACGATGAGTTGAATAAAAAAATTAGAATCACAAGAATCTCATACATAACATTATTTTTCATTTTTCTAAATCTTAGATTGTCAAATTTGAACATTGCTATTATCGTACTGGAATTTTCTGAATGACATGGAAGTCCATATAGTAAAAGATTGATTTCCAACGGAACTTTTCGTTTCAGGAACCGGTTTAGCAACGAGTGTCAGTTCGCACGCCTTAGGAGAGTGTAGTCCTCCTATTTCACCCATTACAATGTCACATACTACACCTAGTATATATCCTGCTCTGAATACCAATATCGGGCACAATTCGTACCAAGGTATCCAAAGTGGTACTACTAATATATCTGGTACATATATGTCACAAAATCCAGTTGGCGTTGGCTATAATCCAAACCATAGTCAGTACAACAGCTTGGGCCACCAATATACGAACAAAAATATGATGGGGAGTACTCTGAATAGTTTAACACATCATCCAGTTGGAATGGGATCGAGTTTGGGACAGTCAGGAGTACTAGGTGAGTGTATAATACCATTGGACAGTTTAGACATGACATACTTTGAAATATTGTTTATATTATTAAACAAGGCATTCGTTATCCAGGTGAAATCTTATTGGCTAAAATAATCACTTTCTCACTTGCTTTCATATTCATTTCCAGCAAAAGAGTTCACGATTATGTTTCAAATAACGTCTTACAAATTTTTTGATCAGCTCAGATGTGATCTACAGTTTTATCTGCTTCAGAGAGGCAGTTCCTCTATGCAATCATCAGTATCCTAGCGACTTCAACCATGTAACGATGACTTTCGCAATGAGTGCCAATCTCACTTAGATTATAAATGAGCCAACACGGATTCCTGATACAAATGAAAAATTTGCTGGGTTCTTCATAAATTCAGCAATGATGAATGAAGAACCACCCAAAGTTTAGACTATTTTCAAACTCACCCTTTGATGATCCATTAAAATTCACTTTTGAAGTCACTGGGGTCGTTCTATCATTAAAATCTTACCTATGGACAGTGACGCGAAAATTATGTCGAAAATGATTTCAGGTTAGACAATGCTCGTAACAAATGCAAATCAAGAATAGATGAAAGTAAAGAGCTGAACAACCAAAGAATTATGAGTAAACTACTTACCACTCCCAATCTCCCAAAAAAAATCTGTTTAAAATCTGTTTTTTCCTTAATCAGCTGTCGCCCCCATACGAACGACAACTCTCAAAAGTTGAGAACTTGTGCGAGCTAAGGACTAACGATGTCTTACCTTTTAACGTGTGATTTCTAACACGGTTGCAGAATCATCCCAGCTTCAGCCAGATAAATTCTCTCGAGAAAAATATCTGGTCGAGGCGGGAATCGAACCCACGGTCTTCCGATCGTGAGTCGGGCGCACTACCACCACGGCCAAATAGTTCTAGATATTTCTGATCAGTGCCGTTAGTCAAAATTTCACCAAGTCCATAATAAATTTCTAACACACTGCTTCTACTGAACCCACAATGCCAAAAATTTCTTCTAATAGCATCCTATGGAACGAATTCTGAAACAGGTTAGCTTTAACAAGGTTTCTAGTCCTGATGAAGCAGCCATAATTTTACTCAAAAAAGTACGTCGGTATTTTGGCGCATTTTTTTGCAATCGAGAATCTCGTCTCGTTATTCTATTTGGATTTTAGGACATCGACCGCAGATGCCCATTTCCACCGGTAGCAGGAGGTTGCATATCTCAATGAGGATCCAGAAGTGATTTCCAATTGGGGTGAAAGTACCCAGTTTCAATTCAATGCCACAAAAACCTAGACATCTGTTTTCTTCTAAAAGATAAATGTTTTTAAACCGGATTTAATAATGTCAGGACAGACAATTCCGCTTTCTGCTTCAATAAGTTTGTTGGGGGTTGAAATGGACACCAATATGTCTTGGCAAAATCATGTCGCTGGATTTGCAAAGGCTGCTTTTCAAAAGTTCGGAACACTGTTTCGAACCAGAAAACAGTAGTGACTTCAGCAAAGTCAGATGCTTTTGAAGCTCAGATCAAACCTTCTTTGTAAAGTAAAGTTCCGCCTGATTGTAGACGCGAATATCACTTGCAACCTCGATAGTCAGGAATATTGAAGAAAGGTTGGAGATTTGTCTCTCTTCTATAGATACTTTCACAGGAAGTGTTCAAGTGACTTGGCACATTCGATTCCACCAGGAGCGGTACATATCAGAATTACGTGACGGATTGTGGTGGCTCATCGTTTTCTGGTTCGACTCGGTACATCTCGAACTTCACTGTTAAGGAACTCTTCCATCTGGAGAACTGCGTTTATGTGGAATAAACTTCCGTTTTTCCAAATGGATTTAATCTTCAGCGATCCCAATCCAATGTGAATCGCTACTTTCGCACAGGCACTGCTCTTAGAGCGACACAAGGATTTTACTGTAGTGCTTGTGTTTTGACCTCAAACAAAAATAATATCAATTGGAGTCATGCAGAAAGTTACGCGGATTGTTGAATTTCATTATATAGTTGTTGTTACAGAAGTTATTGATCTGTTGGTGATATTGATGGACGTGGCATTTTATAATAAAGACTTGTTTCGTTGAATCACTCAACATGATGCCACCACGTAAGTTTTAGCTGTAACTTCACGGTTGCAGAACCATGTGAAGAAGTACATTTTTATTACGTCATCAATTGGATTCTCACAATGTATGGTGCCAACAATATCAATGATTTGAACGAACTGCGATTCAAAGAGCAAGTGTTTGAAGAGAATACCAAATTGATAACATGATTCTGATTGATAAAACCAGAAGGTAGGTTCTCGACAGGAATTAAAATGTATTATTGTTAGGCCATTTGCGTACTTACCTACAAACTCTCAAGATTTTACCTATTAGTTTCATCATACAGGATTGGGATTTCAAATTGGTATATCTCTGAAAGCACTAGACAACTCAGTTTATTACCTTTGATATAGGATGAAAAGTAACATACCTACTAAAACAGTTATCTTGCAAGTTCAACAATAAATAGGTATTGTTCTTATACAGTGCATTTCTTCAATGTCTCCCCTTTCATTTTTTGAACGGGTCTACTCAAAAAATTTAAACTTGGAATAATGAAATGAATGCATGACGTTCATGTCGATCGGTCTGGAAGATGATTCATAAAATTCTTCCGAACGAGACATATTGTTTTACAATAATATTTTGAGTATCAATAATCTATAGTTGATTATCTCCTCTTTTAAGTCCTCGACATAAATATTTTCTAATTGTGAAGGGGGGCAAGAGGATCATACATTTAGCGTTAACAATATGAGCATATGCTGGATGGATACCAAAATATACAGATGTGTTCAAACGCCAAACATATTCAGAGTATATTATTACGTTTCTCTCCGTTGGTTGACCAAAATTGACTACACTGAACAATAATTAATCAAACTTAACTTTATTTAACTCTAAATACAACAAACACTTCAACTAAATGTTTGAAGGTGATCGACAATGTTCGGACTTCCATTGTCTACTATATAAAATGATTTGAAATCCCTGAAACAACTAAAAAAGAAGAATTAAAAATGAATAGCTGAAAATAACAATTATATTAAGCAAAATGAACCTGAAATGAAAGTAAAATAGAACAATTGAACAAAAATAAATAATATGGAACCATGGGAACACTGAACTAGACGCCTTCCTGAAACACATCAACAACGTGAGACCTTCCATCACTTTCACAATGGAGAAGGAAATCCACAACGATTTGCCATTCTTAGACGTTTTGGTGAAGAGGACCGACACTAAGTGGGAAACATCTGTATACCGAAAACCCACTCATACGGGACAGTATTTGAATCACGAATCTAATCACCGTTAATCGACTAAGAGAGGAATCATCAAGACTCTATTGAACCGTGCTTTCGGGCTCTGTAACACGAAGGAAGGTCTCGAGAAGGAACTAGGCATCATCAAAAATTATCTTCAACAGAATGGCTACTCCAAAGCGATGGTAGAAAAGACCTTGGCTGAAAGACAGTAGGAGCCTCGCAAGGAAGAGAAGCCGTCACAACCAGTGCTTGCACTTCCCTACATCAGAGGATTATCGGAGAGGATAAGAAGAATTGGTTCCAAGTACAACATCAGAACCTGTTTCAGATCCGGCAACATTATCCGTAGCAGTCTCACGAAAACCAGGCCACCAAACGCGGACTGCGATTCCAAGAATTGCATTTACCGGATACCCTGTGAGTGCGGAAAATCCTATATTGGTGAAACTAAGAGGCCATTGAATGTTCGCATTGCCGAACACAAGAAACACACACAGTGAGAGGAAACCAGCAAATGAGGAATAGCAGACCATGTTTGGACCCATCAACACAACATCGAGTGGTCCCAAGCTGAGATCTTGCACAGAGAGGAACATTGGTTTAGGAGAAAATTCAAGGAAGCCGCTTACATGTTGTCCAACAACGTATTCAGCCAAGCCAGCGTAGAAATACGCAACATATGGAAACCTATCATCAAGCGAAAAATGGCGAACTCCCGCCAAAACGGTCATCTCCCACGGAACCAGTGAAGCGGAAAATGGAAAGCAGGGATAAGTGAAAGTACTCGAACGACCTATAAATAGTCATCTCTCGGAGGAATCAGTCCAGTCATCACCCGAAGACGATTGTAGATACTGACAATCGAAACGTCGTGAACTAACGTGACTTGGAATCTCTCAACTTTTTTATTTTTATTTTTTTTTTCATTTCTTTATTTTTATTTATTTATGTTCAATTGTTCTATTTTACTTGTATTTTATTTCACTATTATTTCATTTCAGGTTTATTTTGCTTAATGTAATTGTTATTTTCAGCTATTCATCTTTGATTCTTCTTTTTCAGTTGTTTCAGGGATTTCAAATCATTTTATATAGTAGACAATGAAAGTCCGAACTAGTGAAACTTCAACTAATATTTCAACTTTTATTCGGATGTCTATCGCCTTACTAGATCGCTCCGCGTACCGTACTATAACTTCCATTTGGCTGTCTCTATGGGCGAGTGGATTGCGCTTATATTTGGCAATCGAAGGCACTGAAAAATTCCTCGGAATTCCATCAAAGTCGGTAGCATTATTCTCGCCACATCTAGTACGTCAACGAACATTCGCGCGCTCTTAGCCTTGTCACAATTGGTGTATGGCTACCAGTGGCGGCCGGCGTTATTTTCTATAGGACATGATTTATAACAATATGATGCCAAAAGCTTGAAAATATGGCGAAATGTATGTAACGTGGGTAGTTGAATAGATTCTTTTTTTGAATTTGTTGAATCTGACGAACACTTTTCAAAAAGAGAATAAAAACATTATTTCAGTTGACCTTTTTGTTTTTGAATTGATGTGAGTTCGAATTTCTCACTTCCTTGAGCAATTTATTGGAAAGTTTAAGTTTGGGAGAATTTTTCGTTACTAGAAACCTGGATTATACGAATGTCATTATTTGAATGAAAATAATGCCGAGTTTAGAAAGCGAAACATGTTGAAAGAGGTATAATACTATATATTAGGAAAAGTGGACAACAATGGTTTCTGATTTGTTTCTCCGTCATAATTCAGATGATTTTTTTACTGAAGAATGAATAATTTATCCGCCAGACTACATTATGTCTAAATATCTCATCATGCGAAACCGGAATCTGTTGAAATCTGTTTTTCCGTTAACCAGCTGTTTTCCTCCTACAAATGACAACTCTCAGAAGTCGAAATTTGGGGGAACTTGAAATTAACAATGTCTTTTGGCGTGCGATTTCTAGCACGGGTTGGACGATAGGAAGTGAAAATCGATGGTCCGGTTTTTAGGCCGAATCACCGGTTCACAGAGCAGTCGATTGAGAGAGTGGAGGAAATAATTCACGCTGAACCATTTTCGCCTCAATCATTTTCGCCCCAAATGATTGAGGCGATCATTCGCTGTGCAGTCCACAGTCGTACCTAGTATTGTGATAATCTTTTCATTTCATAAGTGATAGCAAATTACATATTATATCATCAGAATTCATCAGCAATTCACAGGTTACAGTGATAGAATGAGTTATTGATATAAATGGTGAATAATGAAGTTCCTCTAATTCCATTATAATGCAACTTTGCTAGAAGAATATCATAAGAGACAAAGTCAAAAGCTTTCGTTGAAAAACTGAGTAATAAGTGAATAATATCACTCATATCTCCAAATCTACGGCAAGGATGGAAAATATGAACATTGGTTTATAATTCTTCATACAAAGTGGATCATTTTCATGCAGAATTGGTAACACGACTGCAATATTGAAAGCAAGTGAAATATATTCATTTATCAGTAATGAACAGAGGTAGGCTTTTACGTCAGCAACTTCTTTCCGGATTTTACTATTCAAATCATAAATATCCATCCAGGCAGTAGTTGTTTTTGAATCAATGTCATTATTGTATCAATAACATCTTCTGGTTCAACAAGGCCAGTGAGAAAAACATTTTACCTGAATTGAAAGAGATATAGTTTTCTGAAAAAAATATTGGAATCTTTCAATAGAAGGAAGACAGTTATTGATTTCAAAATAAACTCTCTCAAAGATGTGTAGGTTACTTTCAGATACAAACTTGCAGAAAAAACAAGCTCTACCAACACTTCTACTTTCACATGAACATTGAATTACATGAAAGAAAAAATACTTTCGAAACAACTACTTTCATATGAACATTGAAATACACTCACATATAAACTATCGTTTCAGGAACTTCTCTGCAACAAAACTTGAATCCCATGAGCACTGGAGTAATCGGGACTTTACCATCCTCCCTTGGGACTTCAATGATACCTCCAACTAGTTACTCTCAAAACGTAATGTCCAATGCAACCTTTTCCAATCCGTTGTCAAACAATCCTTCAGGACTACAACAATCAACTTTCAATAATCCAACGTTCAACAATCCTGTTAGCAGTACTCTCACCCAATACAGCTTGCCTTACACCAATCCCATGAATTCCGTAGTTACTACGAGTTACAGTAACAACAACGTGACATTTTCCAATCCGCTTAGTTCTCAGTTCAATAGTTTACCTCTTACCGGAGGACCAATGAGTATTAAGTTGAAACAAATAGACGACGTAGATTTGGGTAAGTGACATTGTCATAACTTTGCATGTGATCGATAAAATACATACACTACCTGGCAAGATATATGTCTAATTTCAGGCAAACATTTTCGTAGTAATATCAATACAAATTTTACGTTGGACCATTAGATATTCGTTCATTTTTGTATACGGTGCGTACGTTAAAAGTATATTTTTCTCTTAACTCTTGAAACGAGACTAAATATCATGGGCAGAGGAAATTTACACAAAGACTTCATTCTCAATGGTTTTTGATTAGGAAACAATATTATGATGTCACTCACCGCTGACACAACGTTATTACTAACTCCTTTAAGTGAAGGTATTATGTTTGATAGGCCTTTCATTTTCTATCCAACACCGGTTCATTTGTAAAAATCAAACCAAGCGCTTATATATTCTCATTAAAAATCCACAAACGATAAATATCATAGTTTAATAGAAAATGTAATCAAAACTCAACCCTGTTTATCATAATAAATCAAAATAAATGTTCACCTCCAATTTCATGAGGATAATGAAATATGCTCAAAAAAAAACCTCTGATCCTTCAAAACAGACAACTTTGATTCCCTTGGTTGAATAATGTGTCCTTTCTGTGCTGCTTCACTACTAATTGAACAAACTGTGCTTCCTGGATCGATAATAGCTTCATACTGTACATTGTTGATTTTTACTGTACGCAATAATCGCTTGAAGCTTGTCGCCCACGGCCCGACCCGTCAAAATACGTATAGGATTGGTACAATGAAAATGAATGGACAACCACACACTAGTCCGGCACAGCACAGCCAAGAGCGTCTGCCGCTGGAAAGGATTCCAGGTCTTCGATCCTGCCCGGCAAATAACTGTACGTGCTGTGACGGATTGGCCAAGAGAGCGCGACATCGAGCGGTAACCGAAACTTGTCTGTCACTAGCAAATCTGACGAAGAGGCCGCATTATTGAATGTAGAAGAAAATAGTCACGAAAAAGAATGTTGTGGGTCCATCCCATTAGTCAAAAAGAGGGCAAATCTGAAAGAGTTTCATCATCTTTTCAACGATCTGAAAGAAGACGATGAGAAATTTTTCCAGTATTTCCGAATGACTCCAGGCAAGTTTACAGAACTTCTGGATATTCTAGAGCTTACCTTCACAAGCAACTCAATTTTTCCTCTTCCATTTTCATAGGTACCGTCTGACACTGTGCTGTCAACTGATAGAATAGCAAAACAGAGAGGCAGAAACTTCCCAGGCACGTTTGGACAAGTCGATGCTGGCAAGCGCTGACCGGCAAGTCGCCCACTTGGCCAGTCCGCCACAGCATGTACCGTTATTTGCCGGACAGGATCGGAGAGCTGGAATCTTTTCCGGCGGCGGATGCTCTCGGCTGGTGGACGGTTGTCCATTCATTATCATTGTTCCAATCCTATTAGTATTATGACGGGACGGGCCGTGCTGTGCTGTGCCGGCCAAGTGGGCGACAAGCTCATGAGTGCTGTTTGAGTGGTTTCTGTGCAATTGCGTTCGATGTGCTCAGGCTTGAAGCACTCATAATACAAAGAGGTTATTGTTTCACAATATTGACTCTTTTAATGCCCCATATCTCTACAATTATAACGTCTATTATCACTTCTATCTATCTCTTCTATAATCTTTTTCGAAGAGATTAATTTTTGGGAAAGAACGTTTTTGGCGTTCTATTTGTCCGTCTTCATACAAAAAAATTTGGAATCTTCCAAAGAAAAGAAGGAAGTAATCAATTTTTAAAAGGTAGCTCTATACAAATGTGTGGATCAAGCAAAGAAGTAACTTTCAGATATAAACAGGAAAATACTTATGGCGCTCTAAGACTAGTGCCTGTGCGAAAGTAGCGATTCATATTGGATTTGAATTGCTGGAGATTAAATCCATTTGGAAAAACGTTCTCAGGATGACTCTGTTGTGGATGGAAAACGGCAGCTTCAGGGTATGCTTAGGGGCGGAGCTCCATACATGAGAACAATATTCCAAAGAAGGTCTGATCTGAGCTTTATGAAATATCAAAAGTTGCTGAGGTGATTCGGAACAGTGTTCCAAGCTTTTGAGAAGCAGCCTTTGCAACTCCAGCTACATGATTGTACCAAGACATATTGGTGTCCATTTCAACCCCCCAACAAACTTATCGAAGCAGAAAGCGGAATTGTCTGACCTGACATTATTATATCCGGTTCGGAGACATTTATCTTTTTGGAGAATACCGATGTCTGGATTTTTGTGGCATTTAATTGAACCTGGTTACTTCCACTCCAGTTCGAAATAACTTCTAGATCCTCATTAAGATATGCAACCTCCAGCTGCCGGCGAAGATGTGCATTCGCAGCCGATGTCCTGGAGTCCAAATGGAATGACGAAGCAAGTATGCTGTCAAGAGCAACGCAATATAATGGATTATTGTTTTCTTCCAATAATTCGTTAATATACAACAAAAAGAGGATTGGAAACAATATGGATCCTTGGGGAACACCAGCGTTGATGGTGAGAGATTTCGAGAGGCATCCATTGACGGCAGGAAACATTCTTTCAGGAAGCTGGAGAGCCGTACACAAAAATGATCGGATAAGCCATATCATCGAAGTTTGGCCAGCAAACCCTCATACCACACACAGGAAAAGGCCTAAAAAATATTAAGCGGGACAGCTCTTGACTCTTCATGTTTCTCGATTACGTTATTCCAAATATGGATGATATACGATAGAAGGTCGCCTGTTGATCTTTGTTTCCGAAAGCCATATGGATGACCGCTCAAGATGTTGAAGCCTTTCAAATATTCAAGGATATGGTGTTTTACAGCTTTCTATACGATGTTTGATGTCACTGATAGCAAAGCGACTGGTCTGTAGTTACTTGGAAGATTTTTTGCCCTTTTTGGGAATAGGCTGAACGCGAGCAATCTTCCAACAAGAAGGAAATCCCGTTTCTTGTAAGACAGGTTGGAAAGTCTGCGAGTTCTTTGGCGATGACGGGTACTTCATCTCACTCACATGGAACACTGTCATTCTCACTAGTAACCATCCGATGTTTCGCCGTAAGATACTTGCCTTATCAGCTCTTCAGTACCAAATCTGAATGACATTACAAAATGAATCACTCAAGTCATTCATACAATTACGACTCCATGTCACAAATGCGTTAATCAACTCGTGTCATCGATGACAGTATGTAGTGACGTTCATTTCGATATATTTGAGTTTATTGTCAAAGTTATTTGAAGGTCAAAATTGAAGTAACTTTATTTCATACTGGGCGTAATTATTCAGGATGTCAGTGTTCCACGTAAGTGAAATTTTACCTCTTTCATTCACTATATTGTGTAGCAAACCTGTGAATGATATCTGATTCAATTCCATAACGGAATACAAACTATAAAAAGAAAACTGTTTTTTATATAATTCAGTATAATTCAATACGTTTCTATTAATAGTTTTCAACGTAGTTTTCGGATGCTAACTGGACTATTTATGGGTCAGTTGGGAGTTTTCACTGCCTCCCACTTTCTTTTCTCCTCTCGGTTTCCGGTTCAGTGCAATACAAACCGTTGAAGTGGAGTAACTTGGTTCTAAATATTTTCTTATTTTCATTCATTTCAGTTTTTTGCCTTTTTCATTATTTATCTTGATTATATTTCATTTTCTGTATTTGCATATAGATATTCAAAGTTTCATTGATTTCCATTCTCCCCGAAGATTTTGACATTTCCTTCATTTTATTTTTTTTATGCATTTTTTATATATTTCATATCCGTTAACACAATTTTTAGACAATTGAAGTACGAACATTCATTTATAGTTCCTCTGTAGTTTCCAAAAAAAAATCTGTGTAAAATCTGTTTTTCCGTTAACCAGCTGTCGCATCCCTACGAACGACAACCCTCAGAAGTCGAAACTTGTGCGAGCTAAGGATCAACGAGTTCTTACCATTTAATGTGTGATTCCTAACACGGGTTGGACGATATCAAGTGAAGATCGATTGTTCGGACTAGGGCTTGAACCACCGACCAACACGGCAATCAATTCGAGTGAGTGAACAGAGCACACACGTCGAACCGCCTGACTACAGTCCGAAATAATGTAAAACTGTTAATATTCAGGAATTTTTGGTCTGATTTCCAATAATGAACCAGCGTTGGATGAACCTGAATTGAAATACCTATCGAATGCGACAAGACCATCCCTCTTCAAAAAAATGATAGCGTTCTCTTGGCGACGAGTGAAACCTCTTGGTTTATTATTCAAAAGCACTAAAAATAACGCCTTTCAACCTAAACTTTGTATAAATCTAATATCTTATCATGTTCAAAATTTATATAAACTTTATGTCAACACAGTGCAGTTAGTTGATACTGATCACGGGGTGGACTGCAGAGCCAATAAAATAGGTACTTTTTATCTGAATATAGTTGGATAATAAATTATATTTATCAAAAATATGATAGAACTGTCCGATACTTGATGAAAATCCATTATAACCTATTCAAAAAACACTTCATTGTGAGATTTCCACTTGACCGTTTACAAAACCGGGACACGTGTTTTGCTATACAATAGCATCTTCAGGTTATAATACTGACTAGTCATTAGTCAGTAAAGCGAAACACGTCTCGCAGTTTTATAAACTGTCAAGAGGAAATCTCACATTGATTTTTTTTAAATACATTATATTTATCAAAAAGAAATGAGTTACATTTATAAAAAAAACTGAGATAATATATGATATGTATGTGAAGATATATTGAACACCAAATTTAAATAATGAGTGTATTCCTATAACGACATAAATTTGAAAAATACCAAAAACAATCATCTTTTGATCGCATTCATTTGCGATTCTTGGAATTCTTCTCCGCAACTGGAAAAGATTTAGATTATTCCTTGTGTCAATTTTTTTTCTGCAATGAAAAGAATAAAATTATTATCATTTCCATTGCGACAACTACTGACCCGGTCAACAACGACTGATACTGGGGAATCGAAATATCAACTCCTTGAAAAATTGATTACATGGATTTTATTGTAACGTGAATTATTTCAACACGTTCTATAACTATATATGTCTACTGAAATGACCATTCAATTCATTCACAATCACTGCTTTATCACCAAATCTCCTTCAATACCCACTCAACTTCAAAGAACCTCATCTCAAATTCATAATATCTCTTTTCATTTTGCATTTCGCATTACTCAGATATCGAACTCTTTCGAAACTGAAAACTAATATCCTTTAAAGGTACCCGTCGCGTTGCAACCCCTGTAACACCCCATCCGCCCCCATGGGGTGGTACCGTCATGTCTGGTATATCAGATTTGAGACCGAGGATGCTTACAGATGGAATCGATTCAGACTGGAGCGGTTTACATGGTGGCACTGATAGGAACTTCTTGAATGGACACAACCCTGTCAATACCGAGGGCCAGGTTGACATGCTAGATATTCCTGGAAAAGGAAGATGCTCGGTATATATAGCAAGGTGAGAATCTCTATACCTAATCAATTTTCATTTTTGTATATGTGGTAAGGTCGAATTTGGAAGTCCTCACACTGTTAATGAAGACTATAGATGATGGTATAAGCAACATCACCTGTATAACTTCCCTCATAATTGGAACTCCTTCGAAAAAACTGAGATTTTGAAACTGCTCAGAAATCACTCTGATTTCAGGAAGCACTCCTTCTAGATAACAGTCTGTATAACTTTAATTTGGAAAAGTGTTCTGACAAAAAATAGAGCACAATAGGCTAGAAGATTGTAGTATGGTTGAGGGCCAACCAACCACATCTTATTGATGAAGCTTTATGCACATTTTATGGGAAAACATGAATAATTGAAGGTGGGGAGATAATGATAGCGTATTGTAAAGTGATTATTTACAATGTAATGACTAGTAAAGAAATATACATACGAGCTATTAACGATTATAGATGTAAGTTGAAAGCATATCCTATACATCGTTGTGTGTAATTTCCATAAGAACGTAAAATTTACTTGAAAACTTCAAGACCCTTTCTGAAGAAATTATTTAAAAATATATATTTTTTCAAAAGATCTTCCTGATATAAGTGAGACATTTTTTCAATGAGGTGAACAAATTTGCAGTTGACTATTTGGTCAAAAGTATTCTCATTTTGACATTTTCGATATTGATATTGGTGAAACTAGATTTTTTAATATCGGGCACATGTATTGTAATATGACTGTGATATATTTTTTAAGATTCTCTTACGATCCTGAACCCGAAGTAGAAGAGGAACTGAACATTCAAGCAGGAGATTACTTATTAGTTTGGGGCGAACCAGTTGGACCAGGAGGATACTTGGATGCTGAATTGTTAGATGGAAGAAGAGGCTTAGTACCTTCTCATTTTGTTCAACGTCTCATAGGTATTGTTGAATGTAATGTTTTCATTTTTCTTTCCTCAAGTCTCCCAATTGAACTTCAATTCAATTAGCATATCAGAACGGTAGAATGAAGCACAATGCCAAAAATTTTATTTGAAAGTTAAGGTCAATGGAACTATAAATTCCTATTGAGTGGTTCTATTTGATAACATGTGAGGATTTACTGTGGCTCACCTATTTGAATTCGACCGAATAAATTCAGCTTCTCATTAAACCGATTCCGTTATTTGGTGAGTAGTCATCTTGCAAGAATGAAACTCTGCCAAACGCTGAGATCCTGATCCGGACCGCAGCGGTGCAGACACAGAATATGTACTTACTCTGCTACCAGGGCGTGAATTTTATTCTGAAGAATAATCCTCTAGTGAGGATCAGATAGATGGTCAGTCTGCGACTAACTTCGTCAGGTAGGCAAGCAACATGAATATGTGGCTTGGAAAGTAGGTCTCCTGTGACGTTTCAGAGATACGTCTCCCCATTGCTGCAGGGTACTAACTATACCCACTCGGGAGACGCTCTCCTATAGTCACCCGGCCGAAACGTACAGCTCTGGAATCGTGCCTGTGGATATCTTCCGGAATATACTCTATGGCAGCCATAATGCATACTGAAGAGATTTCAGTTGATTAGCCGATATTGAGGTTTTGGAATGTTCAAGGTTCAATAGTCCTACCTTAACAACCACAGCAACCAGTTAGGGCCATTTAGTAGACGTCTATGTCCTCTGTAGACTCAAGGTCAGATATTTTGGTTACTCTATGGTCCATAAAAGGTCCAACTAGTAGCTAAGGAGAGGAAATTCAGACAGATCTTTTTGGCATGGATGGACACCTCTTAGGATGAGGCGTCATTTACGAGGACTCTCACCCCCACGGATGATACCTCACCCAGCAGGGGTATCCTTACGCTTCTCGCAATAGGAGACTCAATATATTCTCATATTACTTCATAGAATTGAAATATCAGTGAATCTAAAACACCGTGTTAGTAGGTTATAAAGGAAATAAATGAAATGATGGGACTGGTCACTTCACCAATATTCCTTTCTCTATAACAAATATTACATAGTAGATCTGCTTTTCGAAACAGTGGGTTGATAAATGCACAGAGACAGTACCAGTGCTCTCTGATATCAATGACCTATTCCCCAGGTAATTCATCAACTGAAGTGACTCGAACAGAACATAGTCCAAAGACTGACCTTTCGAATGATTACGATGTATAATCTAAAAATATCTATGCAGAGCAAAGTGGAGTAACAATGATAATAGAATAAAGTATGTAAATTTTTGAAGATTCATTTGGATTGTCGGAGGTCATGAAAAAAATTGAAATTCTATATGTTGATAATGAGTTGGACGCACTAAAAAAATGTGTCTACGTGGACTGTTCAGAAAATAAGGTGAATGGTCAAATTTCGCAGCAAATTAAGTGCTCAAAAACACTTGAAATGTTGACAGTGACATACGGTGATTGTACTCTGAGTTAGAAAAAGGTTTATAATTGGTACAAGGTCGAAAAGATGAGAATGACGACGGTCGCCCCGGACGCCCCAGCACATTAAGCACTGATGAAAATGTTGAGAAGGTGAAGAAAATTGTTATGGAAAATCGTCGAATCACTATTAGAGAAATTGCTGGGGATGCCGGCATATCGGTTGGCTCAAGCCATGCAATTTTTTCGTAAATTTCAGGTATGCAGCGTGTGGCAGCGAAATTCGTTCCAAATTGCTGAATTTTTACCAAAAAAACATCGCATGAGCATCGCTCAGGAATTGTTGAATGACGTCGACGGCGATCCAGATTCGCTTAAGAGAGTCATAACTGGTGACGAATCATGGGTATGACATTGAAACCAAAGTCAAATTGTCTCAATGGAAGAGCCCAGTAGGGCCAAGACCAAAAAAATATGCCAAGTTTGATCAAATATCAAGGTTTTGTTCACTGGTTTTTTCGATTATCGTGGCGTTGTGTACGAAGAAAACGTCTGATACTGTGGAAAAACAATTGATGGCGATGATGACGATAATGCACCTGCTCACTCGTCATTGCCTATTGGTAATTTTTTGGCCAGAAACAATACCGTTATCATGCCCCAGCCACCGTTTTCACCAGATTTCCCCCATACGACTTTTTCTTGTTCCCAAGATTGAAGATACTCACGGGAAAACGGCGTTTTGCAATATTTGAGGAGATAAAAACCGAATCGCTGATTGAATTCAAGGACATACCAAAAAGTGCATATCCGAACTGCTTCGAGGATTAGAAAAAAACATTGGCACAAGTGTATCATATCTGAGGGGGCTACTTTGAAGGAGACAAAATAGAAATTGATGAACAAATAAATATTTTTTGAGAAAAATTATGATTCACCTTATTTTTTGAACATACAGCGTATTTAGAAGTGAATGTCTGTTGGCAAATTACAAACATCTCCTAATGTGAAGATGCCAACTCGTTTGGCAACTTCACATTAGAAGAGTTTGTCTGTTTGTCTGTTAAGTGTCTATTTTCGATAAGAAAAGTGATTCATAAAAACTCAGGATTGAAATGGAAAATAATACAATTTATATATTAATTCCCTATTTCATATATTGCATCTATCGTATGGTAACACGCATTAGAGTTACAAAGTGTTTGTCAACAAGATGTTAGTTCTTAAGACATTAAACGATATTAAAGAATAAAGAATAAAGAGTATATATTCAGTCATTCAATGAAAACCACTCTTGATGCCCTGATCTTTCGATTTCAGGTGATGATCTTCTAGAGTTTCACCAGGCAGTGTTGAGTACTTTGCGGGAAGAGGAAATCAACCAAGAAAATTTTGCGGCAGATGTTCAGCGACTCAACGAACTAGCTGAGATGGCTGAAGCACACGAAGATGAAGGGCCCGAAGGTGAGACAGGTACGCATTCATGGCATGACTTCTTTCTTTTATTTTGCACTGTCACAAACGTTCAAAAAGTTAAAAATCATTTATCTTTCTGACATTTTCTCCTGTTATATACGTCCGGACTTTAAGTTCTGAAAATTTTTCTCTGAAAAAAACCATAGTTGAAGTAGTTGTGAATCAGAACACAAACACTACGCATTTATGATTCAACACCAGACAGCGCTATTTTGACCCGCTATAGGTCTTATCAGTGGTGCTAGGCTGAACCAAAAATGCATTGCTAGACTCAAATGTCCCTGACAGACAAACCTATATAAATGAGGCGATGGCATCTTTCCTTACCATCCTATGGGATTAACAAGAACTCGAATATCAAAGAAGCTCCCCAAGACGGTCAGTTGCAAAGCTAAGCTTCGACATCGACCGCCGACGTGATTCGTCCTCTGTCTTTTTCTGCAAGGCCAACTAATTGTAAACTAAAGCATAAACACAACGTATTTATGATTCAACACCAGGCAGCGCTGTTTCAACTCACTCTAGGTGTCATCAGTTTACTGGGCGGTACCACAAATGCATTGCTGGAGTTTACAAATAGTTTGTCTTGTAGTGAAAGCTGCAGTGCAAGAAAGAGGACGAATCTCTTTGGCGGTCGATGAAGAAGCTTGATTTTGCAAGTGACCGCCTTGGGGAGCCTCGTTTATTTTCGATGATTGAGTTTTCTGTCGGTCCTATAGATAACGTCTTCGTTAGGGAAGATGTCATCGCCCATACATAATTGAAGTAATGTATTATACAATAAAAGAAAAATAAAGAGATGAACATTTCAAAACAAAATTGTCATATAAAATATTCTCGATTTTCTGTAATCATCTTGTGATCATATTGTATAAAAATTTTTATTAAGTATAGATTTTTGTTCATTGCTTGCTTGAAGATATAAATTTTCAGACCTATTTACAATGCAAGTCCGAACCACAATCATTCATACTGTACATATTAATTTAATTTCTATTTCTAATATAGAAAGTACTATTGCTGGTTAGAAGCTCACTGATAGCTGATAATCTACCAGCTCATTTATTTTTTATACATTCGCTTTGTAACTTAGATAAACTTCATATTCTCATGAAAAGATACTAATTTTTATGAAATGTCGCTCACTCAGTACAGATACATCAGTGTAAGTAAACAAAACTAATGTTTGTTATCTCTTTCGAAGGGTATAGCCAGTTGCCAGCTTTTTGAACAGTTTATAGGATAGTATTGCTGTTAATGCCCAATAGTCCTAAGGCGTTTTATTTTAGTCAGCTCGAAAAATGCAACATCTTGATAATAGAAATACTTTCCGAAGCTTGTCAATATATAGAGTTTGGATGTTGCATTTTTTTCAAGAAATAGACCTAGTTGCTAGATTAACTGAAAATGAGTTTTTCAGTTACTAATCGCCATAATAAACAAAATTCAGCTTCATTAGGTATGTTACCCAGTTTATATATAGCTTTTAGCTTACATAGTATTACGAATTAGCATAATAGTGCTTTCAATTTTTGAAATTAAAATGGAATGATTTTATTATATCAGTAGTTTTGGTTGTTCGATAATCCACAGTTTAAAGTAGACGAGCAGTGACAAGGCTTAACTTTTGGAATGTCTCAAAACCCTTGCAGTCAAGAATTTCATACACACCAATTTACACTTTGTAAAAATCATGAACGCAATGGTAATTATCAATAAATGGATGAATATTTTAAGAAAATAGGTTTTCATGGCCGGAGTCATGATGGAAACAAAATTTAGACAAGCAGGCTGTGGTCGAACGAAACTTGTAGTACCAAAAGTTTCGTCTGCTACTGCGGCAGACGTCGTCAGTGCTTGTGCATTGACTGCGAGGACAAAATCTCAGCAACAATTGACTGGCAAGCTCCATTGTCATTCGTATTTATAGTTTTAGAGAGTGGTGGGGGTGATGGTGGAGATGACGGTGGAGGTGATGGTGGGATGGTGCCAGGATGAATTTGGAATGCTCACTCCTGATTGGTCTTCTGCACTTCTTCTGGGTTGTTCTAATTGTTGACAGGTACGCTAATGGTGGGATTTCGATCTGAGTTTTATACTAGTCCATTTCTGGACTTCTTGGGTACTGAAAATCACGTTCTGTTATCCCGAATACATTCTTCTCTATTGAAATTGTTGTGATGCCCTTTTATTTTAATTGCCCTCCTATGAGGTTGTGCGTGGTGATGTGACAACCAAATTACACAAAAATTACAATCAACGCATTAAATGTTCTCCAATTCGAAATGCGCCAACTCCGGAAGCCTAAAGTTCCCCCATATAGACTATATAGCCTTATTAAGATTCAGATGCCAAACCTTTCACTGTCAACGCCAATGTCAACGCCTTTGGCTCGAAAAATTCAACAATCCTACTAGAGCCTTTCGATAAAAGGAGAATCCTACATCAAGGGTGCAATTCACTTCATTAAGAAAATAAGTACTTCGGACCTGCAGCCGAATAATATTCTGATTAGTTTCGATATCGTTTCTGTCTTCACCACGGTATCAGTCAAGCAGGCGTTGAAGCTGATAAAACAAATTTCCTCAGGATATGCCAAAAGTTTTTTTGAATAATTGGAATAATTACTCTTTTGGAGAAATGGATGAAGTTGTCAAATGGAGTCCTCTTAGCTCTGTGGTTTCAAATTCCTATATGGACGTTTTCGAGAAAAAAGCGCTCAGCAGCGTTTCATTGAACCTACCTGTTGTTTCCACTACGTTGATGATAAATTCGCTATTTGCAGCATTGGAAATGTTTCTACGCCACATCAGTTCGATTCATGCTCACATCCATCCTCACATCTAACTGGCGGAAAACTGGGCGACACAGTTCATCGCAAATCTACTCAAATTGATTTTCATCTCAATAAGAATTGAATATACCATTCAGGAGAAAAATGTGCTACGATGAAAATCCTACCTAGTTGATGTATCAGCAGGGTTTGTGAGCCACATCTTCTTGAAGGAGAACTTCATCATCTAGACCAAGCTCGAACGCCAATAGATTCACAGCGCTAGAAATCCTGAAAGGAGAAATAATTCACCTTTGACTACGATCTAGCTGCCAGTGGCACAATCTACTTGCCTTACATTAACAAAATCACGAATCGCATTGGAAAACTGTTCAAGTGTCACAACATCAAGCCCATCAACAAGTCTATGACTGGGTTCGTATCGGAACTAACAAACGCATCATCAACACCTGGATACAAGAACACAAGCGCAGTTACCGCCTTATGCTACCGGAGAAATCTGTTGTTGCAGAACTTTTCCTATCCGAATCAGACCATAATAAAATACAAAGAAACTGGTGTCCTATCTAATTCAAAGCATTATCACGCACGACTTAATCGGAAGGTTAGTGAGATCTATGAGCATCCAAACAATTTCAACAACAAACACAGGTCAACAGAACCTGGTATTTAGTACTCAAGATGACTAGAAATGGACTAGACTAGAATATAACATTAACATCCCACCATCATCGTACCTGTCAACAACGTGGACCATTCAGAACAACCCAGAAGAAATGCGGATCAAAAAGGAATAAGCATTCGCATGGGTACCTCTCATCCATCTCCACCACTAATACTCTCACCGCCATCCACACCATCACCGCTCACCACTCCTAAAACTATAAATACGAAAGAACACGGAGCTCGCCTGTCATTCGTTGCTGAGACTTCGATATTTAACTTTCGTCCTCGCAGTCAATTCACATACCACCGATGTTGTCTGCCAATTAGCAGGCAAAAAGTTTGTTGCTACAAGTTTCATTCAACCACGACCTACCAGCCTCTATTTGTTTTCTCTTCTAATGTATTAACAATCAATCAGATTTATAAGCATGTTTATTTTGCGAAAAGCAGTTGCATGACACTGAATCAATAAGCCATTTGGTTATGTGAATCTATGCACTGTATACGGCTTGGGTTTGTTTCGTATAAAGGATCATAATTAACATTTATTTTATAGGGCGTATAGAAAAATATGAATAGCATTCATTTTCGTACTGAATAATACTGACAGCCGATTCTTTGAAAAATCTCTCCAAAGAAATGTATCAATTTACAATTATTCATCAACGCAGAGAGCTCGATAATTTTTTTGATTTATAAAATTGAAAAAAGAATTCTGCATTACCAATAAAAAACAATAATTCATATTTATTCTTATGAATGTTTTCAAGCTTTGCTATATGCTCGGTTCAAGAATATTGTGAACATTTTTATTCATTCTTTGATTGTAATCACAATTTATTTTTGAGTGGCACGATTTCTTCACCTTTATACTCAGTAAAATGCACCATTCGTCTTGACTGGCACCGTTCAACTACACCACCTACATACACCATGTCATTTTAAAAAGAATGTTTAGACGTGACTCACAGAACGTATAATAGTTTAAGTAAATTTATTGAAAACGATAATGACAAAAACTTTAGAGACGGATAGATCAGGAGTATATAAGTTGACTTGTGGCTCTCACACAAAACTTTATATTGGCCAAACAGTGAGAACTTTTTCCTAAACAATTGAAGAGCATAGAAGTAGTTTCTTGAATGGGAAGACCAACTCCACATTTGCAAACCATCCAGGACCAGAACGAAATGAGTTCAATCATACTGCATTTTTGCAATAAGTGTTTTTTGCAATGAAGAGTTTTTTGAATACACTATCTAAGACACTAATCTATTTATATATCTATATAAATAATGAAGAAAGTTTTCCTTAGTGCGTAATTCAAATGAATTTATTTTATGTCATTGAAAGTGAATTACAGAATTTTATTACTCTACAGGCCGTTTTTTTATTATGTGGTAACAGTGCTATATTCCAAACCGTAACAGATACGAAGACGATTAAATGAAAAAAAAAGGGAACAATACAACAGTCGACGAAAACTTACGGGACTCCCTCCCTTCTCGAGTTATACCGGGAAAACCGAAAATGCTGTTTTTCGTTTTTTTCGAATGGATTTATTATTTCGGAGAATATAAAAAAATGAAAAAAAAGTGTTATTGAATTCGAAGTTGTACTATGACGATGTAATAATAAATATTCGATAAAACGTTTCGTGTTTGTAAAAACATGGACTCGTAAAGTGAAAATCAGAGTATGCCATCAGAATTTTTTTAATCAGTCGAAAAAATTAATATTTTTCAAGAATGATTCGCTCAATAACAAAATGA